GAACTCTCTGTAATTTAAGAAGAAAGCTTTCTGCATGTGCCAGTACTGGAAACACATTTTGGACACAAAGGTCACTGATGTGGCAGTTGAAATCATCATGAAATAAGTCACTTGGGACGTGAATTTAAGCAAAACTGAAAAGTTACCTCCTGTTTGACAATGAAGTTTTCTTTCCCTGGTCTCTCAGCCCTGCCAAGTTTTGTAACAACTCCTCAGTTCTGCAGACTGTGTATGGGGCAGATACCCCTTTGCAGGACCTTCAGCAGGGATCTCTGCACATTTTGGAGTACATCTCAACCTGAGAGCAGCCTGCAGAAGGGCAAGTTGGGTACCACATCTTTCCCTTGGGCCATCCTTGCCTACTTTCCCTGTCAGTGGCAAGTGGTGCACATTGGTTTCCAAGAATTACTAACCCATTTCACGACATGTGGTCCAAGAAAAAAAAATTACCAACAAAGTTACCAGCAAAAACAGCCTTTATTACAACCTTGCTTAGTCACACTTTTCTTTTTTTCCTGACAAATTATGAAGAACAAAGCTAACTGACTGGATGATCTTCAATGTCTTTTCCAACCTAAATGGTTCTATGACTTTGCTTTTTTCTTAAACCACTGTTTTGCCGAATGCACAGTGCTAGGAGGAGTTCCATTACTTGCTGTCAGTCCACCCCAAAGTGCTCAGAACTCACAGCATTTCATCAGACATGATCTTGATATACAATAAAAGAATTCTTTGGATTTTGACCTGTTACAATGCCCCTGGTCCCAACCAGAAAGATTTGAAACTTGTTTTTTTGGCAAAGTTGTCAAAATTTTCTTGTCGATGTATCCTAAAAAATCACCTTCAAGGGAGATGGAAAATGGTGTTAAAACACTAGATTTGGAAACAGTTCCTCAAAGTGGCTGTGCCTGTGACCTGGTATGGCATGGCTGCAAATTTTGGGGTTTTACAGCAAAGAATGGTTTATAGATCGCCGTAGAATGCAACAACTTAGGTAATGTGATGAATGTACTGCTGGGAGGAGCACAAACCACTTCAAAATGGCTCAGCCGGGCAAACAAACAGGAGTGATCCTGCCAGTGAAGGTGTTTGCTGTTGCTGATGGTTGTACATGCGGCAGAAAAAGTTTGGGAACTCCCTGGCTTGGAATAAAAAATTCCCTGGAGGTAGATGGTCTGAGCAGATTAGCTGTGGCCTTATTAGACCAGGCTGTTACTAAACTGTTTGTTACTGGTACCTTCTGAAAGGTCTTTATACCTCACACGAGCCTGGGAGAAAGCTCCAGAGAGATCCATGTGTTACTTTGTGTTTCGTTTCTTCCCAAATGATTGCAAAAATAATTTAATATTACTGTTTTGAGGAATCTCCTGAGAAGCCCATGAAAACTTTATTTCTCCAACTCCACTGCCTTTTCTGAAAGACAGAACTCTGCTTAGCCTTTCTTTTCTTAGTCAGGAGCAATCCATTGAGGGACATAACTGTATCTGGGGAAGCCTCGGGGCTGATTTTGCACTGGCTGCAATAATATGAATCATAAATAAATCAGTTTGCACTATCATCAGAACCACTTGGGGGGGGAGATTTAATTAGGGAGACTATGGGCAGACTGCAAATGTTTTATAGGTGTGAGAAGAGTGACAGACAGGAAGAGGACATTCCACAGTCCGGATTTCAGCTCTTCACAAACTGTTTGTAACCTATTAGCTGAGATTTTCAGCATAGCTGTAGGATTTAGTCATGTCTTCCATTGAGGTGTAATGGGTGATAAGTTTAAATACCGTGCATTTAGAAAAAGAGAGAAAAAAAAAAAGGTAGAGAACATTTTCAGTCATTACTGAAGCGTACTATGGTACATTTGTGTGAGGATCAAGAAAAGACAGGTGAGATCTACTGTATGGGTAGGCAAGTTTCCAAGAGCATTAACATTTTATTTTAAGAGATGAATAAAACCCTCAAAATTGCTCTAGACTTGGCAGGTAAGGATTGTTATGCTTCATCTTGCCTCTTGGCCAGAAAGCTCAGTAAGTAAGAGCTTGCCAGATACAGCAGTCTTCCCCACTACCTGAATTTAATTTAAACCATTCTGTGCAGCCCTGATTTTAATCCTTTCATTTTGGTTTTGAGTTACCGCATATATGGCACAATGGAAATATTTTTTCAAACTTAAATTAGAAACACGTTTTAGGAGACAAAAAAAGGGCCTGTCTTTAGTGCAGAATGAAACATCTTTAACTGTTAGATGAAGTACAACCGTTGGACCATTTCACTTAAAAGGTTTGATCATCAGTAGAGAAATGTGGATTTTCTGTGATGCACCTTTTCTTGCCCTTTCCCCCTTCCAGTTGTACACATTGCACAAAGTGTTTCTTCAGGGTGGCCAAACTTTGTGATAGTTAGCAATAAATATGTTTTAAAATAACTAGAGACAAAAGTGTGATATGTCAAAGGTAAAAAAAAATCAGTGTATTCATCTTTATTTTACACTCTGTGTGTAAAAGTAATGGTGAGTTTTTCAAACTCTGAGATATTTTTATTTGTCATAAATGGTGGCAATGTTTTTGTCACCTCTAAGAATATGTGTTTCCAGGAGGTACCATCAACTTTGGCTCTAAAGCAGTGCAGAACAGGAAGTATAAATGCTGCAAACATCTGAATCCAAGTAAAAGCTGTGGAGAGAATGAGAGTTGCAACTAGATCTTCAATTTTGCTGCCCAGGTTGGCCTTGTTTCTTCCACAAGGAAAAGTAAGGGGCCAACTTGATGGTTTTGTCTTGAAAATTGTCTTGAAAGACAATTTTTTTTCACTTTTTAAATGTTGTCATGGTGGTTTTGTAAGCTAAAAAGTCTAGAAAATTCAGACCAAGCAGTGCTCAGTGGCTGATGAAGCATCAGGTACTACAGCTCCTTGTGCCACAGTTAACATGCCTTGACTGTGTCATGCTGGTGAAAAAAAAAAAGCTGTTCCATGCTACACTGGAATCTCAGAGTGTTACTGGTGAGCCCTGTGGAATAGCCACCTTATTCAAGTAGTGTTGGAATCGAGACCAGTGTGTCCTATCCTGCACTTGGCCTTTCCAAGTGGATGAGTGGGGATGATTCAGGGTTGAGCACTGAGGATGTTTTAAGGTCTGGAAATACCACTCCGGGTCTAAGTCACTGTGATGATGCTCATTGACTTGTCACAAGTAATTCCTGGAATTTCATATATTTTTAAAGTGGACTTTATCTAGCATTTTAAACATGCAGATTTATTAGTAAATCAGATGTGTATTAATATAATTTGTGCACTTTTTTATGCTTGGATGTTGGGAGCAGAACATGACAACAGAAAGGAATACTTGCTATGCAGTTGTGGTCAAAGGACTGGACTCAGCACTTAGTTCTTTGAAGGATAATTTAGGGCCCACTTCAGCAAAAATGTCCCTGCACGTCAAGGCAGTATGGACATATCATGACTGGCACTGCTGGAACCTCATGTGTAGTACCAGCTAGTCCATGGTCTAGGTGCCAAAATGTTGGTCACTGGGCTTCTTATTAGACTGCTGATGGAAATGTGCTTGTTTAACAAAAAATACATAAACAACATTTGACATAGTTTTAGAAAGATCACTTTGAAAAGTGTGTCTTTTCAGAAATTCACATATTGGGTGATCTTACTCATGCTTATTTGGGTTTTTTAATTATGTGAATAAGGCCACTGGAAAAATTGATTATTTCCATTATGCATGGGAAATGGTGGAGTGACCAGATTTCAATGCAGCTTCCCTGAGTCCTGGGTGTGCAGAGAAGGTCATGAAGTCGCCCATGGGTGCTGGCCAGGATCACATCTGACATGGTCGTGTTTAAAGGCAAAGCCAAATGAAAGAGAGGAACGGACCAACAAGATATCACTGGTGAAGAAAGATTATCTACAACGTGCTGGCTACCCTGTCCAAGTGTAAAAAGGCCAATTAGCTCTGCTTATCCTTCCCTTCCTGTTGTTCCCAGCCTGAGTGTGAGCCACACACAGCTTCTTAAGGCTTTGAGCAATGAGTTGCTTTTTCTAAGGACTGACAGGAAATCATTTAATAAGCTGGGAGGAGGGAGAAGTTTCCTGTTCTACTTACTCCCCATATAATTCCTAAGCTAAAGAGAGAAGACAGTTGAGTGGGCCAGAGCGCCAGCCCCAGTGTCCTTACGTGTGTTCCTCTACCAGTGGAGGTCTGACCACACTGATCACATCCCCACAGAGATTTTGCCTTCGTCTCAGTTAGACCCCTAAAAGCTATATATTCTTTCAAAGAATGAATAAGTTGAGTGTTTTCATTAAGTTGCATGTTAATATAATAGAAGTGCTTTCAGGGCCATGACTGTGGGATTAGCTCTGTGCAGAGGAGCTGGATCAGGACCTCGGGACCATTGTTGGAACATCACAAACACTTAAGGACAAATTAAGCTCAAGTGAAGCCTATTTTGCAATATGTATAAAAAGTGTAACTGGGATTGATGTATCTGTTCTGCTGTAAAGATCTGACACTGTCAGATGGCTAAAATGCATAAGGCAGTTACATAAATCTTACTAATGCTTTCGATGTGTTTATCTCCTGAGTTTTTTAGGACTTATAAGTGTATTTCAAGTTTACTGGTACTGAGAATGAATTCACTAGAGAATGTGTGTACTTATTTAAAGTTGTGTAAAAATATCATTCTATTCACTTGAGTGTATGAATGGTAAACAAAAATTTTGTCAAAAGCCCATGGTAAATTTAGAGATTCAATACTTTAGAAATCCTACTGAAGAGTTGCCTGGAAAGTGTAGTGTATTTAAAAAAAATGCTTGCTGGATAGTATTTCATATTAAAAGTGTTACTAACTAAATCTGTGCTATCAGTGGAAAAAACAGATGAACTCTGCCATGCTTCCAAGTATATAAATAGTATTATTCAATACCTGAAGACAAATTATTTGCTCAAGACCTACCATTTGTTTTCTGAAAGAAGTGTGTATTTGTTTCTTGAGCAGACATCCTCCGCGCTGCTGAGAAACCCCTCGGAAAGCACAACACTTCAGAAGGGTCCTGAGGAAGGATATGACAAAGTTCTGCAAGATGTGACATCTGGTGGATGGCCTGCTCCCAGTGACCCAGGGCCCCTGTCAGGTACAGTGATGAGTTCGAGTTTATTGAGGTCTGTAACAAATTTCAGATGACTTGATTAAAATCATGAGTGTGCAGCCCCCTTTCTGTTGGCAGTTAACTTTTTTGTGCTGCAGTAGACAGCACAGAAAGCTTAAGTTCTATTTGAATTTTGCTAATTGTCACTTGACAGCAATGAATTATTAAAAATTTGTCGTCCTCAAAATCTGAAAGAGCAATTTAGCAGGCCAGAGGTGTAGCATGTACTGTTACATTATACTCTCCTTCTGCTTTCCAGGATAGGTGTGTTTATTCTTGTAGTATTGTCCATCTGCATGTCTATTCTGTAATTAGCCACAAGTTTTTTAAAAAGTCACGAAAATCATGAGATTCACCTGAAATGTTTCTCAGTGCAACATATTTTACTGCCTTTTTTTTTTCATTTTCTACTTCTAACTTCTGACAAGAGCCAAGAACCTCATCTCTTAAGTTAAATAGTTGACTGCTTGCAACTTTCAAAAGTACCAGAAATTGCAAAAACAAATTAAAACTGGGTTTAGTAGAGTTCAGAGTGGTATTCTTTAGTAAGACTGGAACTATTAGGCAATCCTTGCCATGGTAGCTGCACTAAGCTGGCAGTAGGAGTGTTCAGTTGGAAAAGAGGGTATAGGGTACAGATGTGTGCTACAGGAATGCTGCTTGGTCATCAGCACCCTAAGAACCAACCCCAGTTTCACTGTTCTCACTGTCCCTCAGGAGAGATAAGAGAGAGAATATCTTTTTGCAAATAAATATCTGCATTGACCTGACATTGAGAATGCTGCTCGTTACAAACATGGGACAGTTTTGTTTGTTATTATGTTTTCCTTATGGTTGTTTTGAAAGTGAATTAAAGGACAGCATTATTCTTTTGTTGTTTCTGGGACTGTTATCACTGATCACAAGTTCTGCCCAGTTTCAGCTGTTTCTCCCAGTAACCCCCATAGACAGGCCTGGGGTCACCTCTCATCTCAATCCGAGAGGCTGAAAACGGTTTGAAATTAAAACCTGAAAGGTGAGGGGAAAAGCAGTGGAAAGATCAATGTTTTACAATTAAAATGAAATCTTACCATACCGGTTTCTGCTATTTTGCTTTTATATACTGCCATGAATATTCTGTTCAGAAGTTACAGGTTGTGTATCCTTTGTGATTTTTCCCAAGTCCTTCCAGTAAATTTTCTCCCGTTACTTGTTGTGGCTGAGCTTCTCAAGCAGGGGAAGGCTTGTTTGCTTGTTTTTATTTTGTTTTCTTCCTGAGCTGCTCTGTCTGGAATTTCAAAGCAAAGGAAACTTTTGTATATGTGTAAAGGGGTGAAACTTCTGCTGGCAAGGGTTGGAGTGTTTATTTCATATAGCTGTGGAAACTCCGGCAGAGACATAATTGTTAATAATGATGAGGATGTATCAATCTGCCAGTAATTTGACTGGGACATGAATAAACACATGGGCCCACTGACTGAAATGTCTGACCTGAGTTTTTATATCCAGGAATAAGTTGTTGGTTTTCTCCCATGACAGTGTCAAAATACCTCCACCACGAATATGTTTAACCTGTGTTTTTACACCACACTTTCCTTATTTTTTCCTGAACTAAATTCTTGTAAGTTGTCCTGTTCTCAATATAAACCCATTGGTCCATCTTCCCCCTTAGCCTCCAAGGATTTAGTCAGTGAGGGGGAAGTGTTTAAAAATAATTCCAGTTATGGTAGAACAGCCTGTATCCTTTCTATAGAGTAACTGACATCAGCCTTCTGAGTTCACAAAATGGTCAACAAAAGATCAGTAAAAACATCCAAGGATTCTGAAGGGTAAACATTTTTTTTTCCTCTTTCCTTTAAAGGGAAAATGTGACTTTTTGAGCAGGAGTAGGTTTTCAGACTGTGGAAGCCTGAGTGACACACACCTCTTGTTAAAACTGGTATGATTTTGTATTCTGAAGAACTACCAGACCTCTTATAAGCTTCGCCTCTGAGGATACATGTATTTCTGTTGTAATACCAAGTTAATATCCATATTAAGGGTGCTGTGTATTAGTGGGAATAAAGAGAAAAAGAGAGATTTCTCTTGTTTTCTTTTTATCTGATTTAGTGATGCACATGCCCGTGTGCTGGCTCCTGGGTTGGGGCAAGGGTTGTATTTTGCTCATGTTAAAGCTGGGGAGTGTAAGGACATGCAACATGAGGCTGCAGGTGGAAAACTTCTTTAGCCCAGGGAATATGTGCCTCCAGGGAAGACTCAGTGACTGGCTGTGGCTATCCTATGCCTTTTCAATGTGGGAGAGCATAAAGGAGGAGCCATGCAAGACAAAAGTTGAAGAGGAGGTGGGGATGTAGGCAGGAATTGGTGTAACAGAGAGGGAGCTCTGTGGTTTTCTCCTGTCCTTGTACCAGCAGCCTGCTGAGGTGTCATTGCCAACCAGCCAGGAGACAGCAGTGGGCTGGGTATAATTTGGGGTGTCCTGCTCAGAGTTACACTGCCCAGTTTTATCACTGAAGCTGGAGAGATTTTGAAGCAAGCACCTGTAGGCTTGAGGAGAGGGCAAGTGGCAGAGCGGAACATTTCCTTAGGCCCTGGCCTAGTGAACTCCAGAATTTCAAAGCAGAAATTGTGCAAGGGGCTTCCAAGATCATGGGCAAGGAGTCTGTGCTCAGCACTTCATGGCCAGGTCGTGGCAGCACCTGAGGCAAGGAGGACACCAGATGTTTGCAAACACCCACATTCTAAAACATTCACTTACTACAGTGCCCACACCAAGAGCTGGAAATGTAATAGCACTGCAGGTGTTTCTTGCCTTCATATTTTCCCCACTATGTTTGAGAAATGTTGAGAGTGGCTCCGGAGACTTTGAACATTTGAAATGAGTTATAAACACAGACTGCTTATAATGGTGATATTTTTAATATATGTACATACTACTGGAAACCTATCAGTTGGTTTTTTTCACTCTGTTATTTAAGAAAACCAGAATTGATGTCTGCTAGTTTCAATATTTCACACTTGCCAAATTTCTTGGCTTACTTTTGAAAGACTGAATCTTGAAATAATGATTTTTTTTTCAGTAGAAATTTCAATTTCTTTTTTCCTGGCACGTAAGATTAGACGGGGAAAATAACCCACGCCTTTTCCCTGGTCACTGCCTGCATCCAGACAGCCACACCAAATCTTCTGAACATTACGAGCGTATTATTGCCTTCTGTTGCACGCTAGTAGATTTTTCGGGCTGTAAAGGTCCTTTTCCCGCTCAGGGGAGAAACTGCAGCACCTGCGTTTGGCGTTTTCTTGGTGCTTTCACTTTGTGTATGGAATGTAAGTTCCTTGGGAAGGCCCCGGCGAGCTCCGGCAGGAGCGCCTCGCTCCACGCTGTGCCCTGATGCTCAGCACAACGATCCCCTCCTCTCCCCGGCCTCTCCCGGCGCTCGCTGTTTCTCTGATGCCCCCTTCTGCCCTCCTCGCCTCATATCAGGGAAAAATCTTCCTTCGGGACTGCCCAGAGACCGTGCAGCACAGGACATGGGGTTGGGTTTGAGCGCTGCTGGGGGTGTTCTGGGGAACGTGCCCAACTGCTGTTGTGTTGGCGAGTCAGGCGTTTGCCTTTTCTGCAAACGGGAACCGTGTGAATGCACGAGGAATACACTGAAGGAAGGAGGTGGGGATGATTTCATCCATTAGAGATCTTTGTGCAAGTGTGGACCAAAAAGCTCTAAAAAGTACATTTGGCTACTTTCAATTTTTAGTTGTGTGGTCACAGGTGCATTTTTAGGCAAAGTATCACATAAGAAATTAGCTCCTCCTATGAAAAAAAAATTAAGAGGATATCTTTGGAAAATTAGGACTGATCTCTATGGCTGCTGTTGCTCCCATAGTCCTTCCCCCTCCAACAAACCCTTTAATGTGATAAAAGAGTGTCAGTACCCTTTTCATTTAGGAGCCTCTGTTTGCTGACCAGCCCCTGTGCCACACTTGTCCTTTGGCAGACAGTGAAAGAAGTGTCCAAGCTCCGGGATACATTTGTCTGTTCTTGCCAAAGAGATCCAGTTACAGAGGTGAGACAGTGACCCAGATGCAGGCTCTTTGCTGGTGCTGCCCCTGAGGGTTCAGTTCCAGTTGGTTGCATTTATGCAGCCTGCACTTTGCTAGGAAAGAGTGAAATCATCAATTGTCACAAGTCTAATTGGTTTGGACATGTGACCTCGGCACTGAAGAACTTAAGATCTAAAGGTCTGCTTGCCCTGAGAAACGTGTTCAGGAATGGCTCTTCTGCCAGGAGTCCTTGTGTGGGTGCTAATTGCATGTGGCACACCGGGGACTCTTCTGGAAGCAGTGGGGAACAGCCATTCTGGGAAACATCTGTATAGAGACAAATCCTTATCCTTCAAGGCCTCTCCTTCCCAGGGAATTCCAGAGAGCTCCTTCTGCGTAGAAAACTGAGAGTTACCAAAGAGGTGGATATTTCTGTAACACAGACTGCAAGTTCAAAGTGTGCAGGTGCTTGAGGAATCAAAAATACCTCAGAAACTCTGTAGAAAACTTTGTCATTTCAAAATATGAATGAGAGGATAAAGCCTGCTTTGATTTAGTGTGAAAAGGGAGGAGGGGAACAATGACACAGGGATAGAACACAAAACATTCCTCAATTTTAGGAAAAAGGTGTCTGTAGCAGTGTTTCTGGATTTCTTCAAGTGCAATATAAAGGTTAGATCACTGTTCCCCACATCAGCTGCAATAATACAGAACCACTGTGGAAGAAGGTTTCAGTCACTGCATTATCTTCATTTTTACAATAATAAATGCAGCTACCACTTAGCATGGAGTGATCTCTCTCCTAGGTCAAACTCTTCTGTTTGTGTTTCAATGACAGCTTGACATAAAATGACTTAATGACTAAAATGAAAAATGGTACAATATTTCAATTCTCATGTCAGGAACAATTTAGGAATTAAAAAGCATAACATAGAATTAATGTATCTTTCAAAAATTCATTAAAA